TCTCTCTCTCTCTCTCTCTCTCTCTCTCTCTCTCTCTCTCTCTCTCTCACCTAGACTGTATGATCTGCAGGGACTTGAGAGACAGTGACAGCCAGTTCTCTGTGAGTTGTTCGATCTCGGTGCGAAGGTTGAACCACTGGTCGCGCTTCGCCGGACCGATCAACCCTAAAATAACACATACACAGATGTCACAACCATCTCGATATAAAACACAAAGGTGTCATAACAAACATTCCGATACGGACACATACCTCCCACAACTCCAGTCCCCGAAATCGCACAGGTGTCACAAACATCTCGATATAACACAACATTACGATACAGATCAACAAATTATAAACATCACAAAACCGAAATAATATCAAGAGCTAATAATACCTTAAGGTAAGGTATATCAGGTATTATAAGGTATATATAAGGTATTATTAGCTCTTGATAATATACAGAATCACAAACACGTTAGCAGTAGAACTGAACTATGCGTGCGCGTGTGAGCGCGTTCTGCCTTGTAGTGACACTAAATGGCGCGCGTGTTCGCTAAGCACACGGCCCGCGGGGGAGCCACTATACACTGGTCTCACCTCCGACGTTGCTCCTGTAGCTGTTGTAGATCTCCTTTATGCGTCTGTAACGGAAAGCGAGCTTTCTCATCCAGTCGACGCCGCCGCGCACGCCCGTCGCGAGACACAGATTGGCGTTGGTGGCGGCCGCGTGGAAACCGTCGGTCGCGAAGTTGTAATTACTGCGTGAACAGACGAGAACAGAGATACTTTAATATTATTATTTTATTATCAGGTTGTATAGGACGGTCGGCAGGGGTGTATGACCGAGGATCATGGCCGAATGTCACTGACGTCATCGTCATGTCATTATTAGATATAAATCTTTGTTATATTATATGTTATAATATATGTTATTCATTATCAGGGTTATATTCTATATTATTCTATTATATTCAACATATTCTATACATTCTATTCTATTCTATTAATGTATTATATTATAGTTGATTATGTTCTTACTATTCTATAGAGATTATATTATGTATCACTCCATCATATAGATTGCATAATCATCATCGTGAAATCTACGCAAGAAACACATGTTTGCGATAACCAACACACCGATGACTCATCTTTGCCACGAAAATACTATCGACTGGGAAATGTGCCCCTCTATTACTGCTGATCTCAGTGTCTATTGCAGCCAACAACGGTGGTGCGCAACAAGTGGATGCAGATGGAGACATGAGGATGCATATAGACCGTGTTATTTATCGTGTCCTGACTTACTAACCTTAAGTCTTGTCCGTTGTCATCCGAGGACACGTCATCTATATGAACCTGGTCGCATTCCTTCAAAACAGAAACGAAAACAGGTATAGCAGCGTTGACAATCAGATTGATACCTCACGCACGTCCTCCTCGCGCGTCTCGTGTCTTAGAGAAACCAGGGTTAGGCTTAGGAGGTTCCCACAACCACGCCCTCGGCAATTCCTCCTCTCCCCCCAAAACGTGGGGCTTGTTATAAATAAAGTCGCCTCTCGTAAATATCGCCTTATAAATAAAACAGGTTGGCAGCTGCTATACGAGAGTTAGTTTTGCCCCCCTCCTGCTTCTGCTTTGTACCATTCATGCTATAGTGTGACCTTGATTTAGTAGCGTGTAGAATGAGGACCATACCGGACGGCAGAGGCCACTAACCAGCAGCATCTGCCCTGCTCAGAGTTCACAGCGAAGAAAACAGAAACACATGCTGACCGAAGGACAAAAAGTTCTTAATGATTTTGGGCGTCTCAGATGCGTTCGGCCATGTTGTTTTCCACGCGCGCTTAATTCGCACGGTTAATTCGCACAGCACCGTGGTAAGGACCGTCGCCTTGGCAACGACCACGCGTCGGTGTCCGTTGCTGGCCAGCGATCCACCGCGCATGCGTGGTCCGCCTGAAATGGCAGCCATTTTTATACGCAAGCGCTGCCGGGGGGGGTGCATTCACTATATGGCCAGAAGATTGTTGGTCTGGAAGTTAAAGGTGTACGCTGGCGTGTCTTCAGCTGCAACTGCTGATGCGTATGTGATGATGTCTGTAGCCATGGCAACGACCACTGTTGATGCGTGTGTGTGACGGTGTCTGTAACCACGACAACAGCCACGTATGCACCCACCCC